GATAATACACTTTGATAAAAGAATCTTTTAAAAATCAATTTTCCATCAAAAAGTAAAGAAAAAATGTGTGCATTGGAATTCTGTCCCTGACATTGCCAAACTATATGAACTTAAGTTTTTTAAACTCCCCAAGTCTCCATGTCCTTCTCTACAAAGTAGGAATCACAATAGTTTCTACCTATATTTGTACATAAATACAATAAACATGAAGCATTTTGCATAGTGCATAGTACACAGTACATTTTTTTAAACAGTAATCAATTATTACAGAAGCTAGGCCTTGATGGGAAGAGAACATTCGAATTGGTAGGCAGTTGAGAAAAGGCTGGCATTTTAGGTGAGGGGAATAATAGTCAAAGGGCTGAGCATGGCAAAAGTGGGAGCACTAGAAAACAAATGCACATTAAAGAGAATAGGGATAAAATTGGGCACACAGGATGGATCTAAAGGAGTAGTTCCCTGGGGGCAGGAGTGGGTTGTGGAGTTATCACAAGAAATCCTTAAATCCTTTAGTGCACCAACCCATGCCTTAAACCGAATGTATATTTCATGCCACTTCCAAATATGAATAGATGTTGCAATTCTTTTTTTTTTTAAGAAAGAGAGAAAGAAAGGGGGAAAAAAAGGAATGAAGAAGAAGAAAAAAGAGGAAGAGGAGGAGGGAGAGAGAACAGGAGTGTTGTTGCTTTATTGCCCAGGCTAGAATGCAGTCTAAAAATGGGTATTGAAAACCTCCCTTATACCATCAATCGTGCTTAATAATGTCCAACCAATATTTCATTTAAACCTGTGAGTAGGTGTGATGTGGTACTGATAAGAGTGCATATCTTGTGTGTTTAAAGTGGGGAGTTCTATAAATGTTTATTTTATTTTATTTATTTATTTTTTTGAGACGGAGTTTCGCCCGTTACCCAGGCTGGAGTGCAATGGTGCAATCTTGGCTCACCGCAACCTCCGCCTCCTAGGTTCAGGCAATTCTTCTGCCTCAGCCTCCTGAGTAGCTGGGATTACAGGCATGCGCCACCATGCTCAGCTAATTTTTTGTATTTTTAGTAGAGACAGGGTTTCACCATGTTGACCAGGATGGTCTCAATCTCTTGACCTCGTGATCCACCTGCCTTGGCCTCCCAAAGTGCTGGGATTACAGGCTTGAGCCACCGTTCCCGGCCTATAAATGTTTATTAAGTTTACTTGTTCCGGATCTGAGTTCAAGTCCTGGATATCCTCATTAATTTTCTGTCTCATTGATCTATCTAATATCGATATTAAAATCTCCCACTACTACTGTGGGAGTCCAAGTCTCTTTACAAGTCTTATGTATCCTATATTGGGTGTGTACACATCCAGGATCGTCAGCTCTTCTTGTTGCATTGATCCTTTTATCATATGTCCTCTTTTGATCTTTGTTGCTTTAAAATCCATTCCATCAGAGGTGAGAATTGCAACCTCTTCTTTTTATTTATTTATTTATTTTTGCTCTCCATTTGGTTGATGAATCTTTCTCCATCCCTTTGTTTTGACTTTTTATGTATCCTTGCATGTAAGATGGGTCTGGATGCAGCATAGCAATGGGTTTGGCTGTATCTTTTGATTGGGGGATTTAGTCAATTCAAATTTAAAATTATTGCCATTTGATGTTAGCTGGCTATTTTGCCCATTAGTTGATATAAATTCTTCATTATGTTGATACTCTTCACTTTTTGGTATATTTTTAGAAAGGCTAATACTGGTTGTTCCTTTCTATATGTAATGCTTCTTTCAGAAGCTCTTGTAAAGCAGGCCTGGTGGTAATGAAATCTCTGAGTACTTGCTTATTCACAAAAGATTTTATTTTTCCTTAGATTGTAAAGCTTAGTTTGGCTGGATGTGAAATTCTGGATTGAAAGTTCTTTTCTTTAAGAATGTTAAATATTTGCCCCCACTCTCTTCTGGCTTGTAGGGTTTCTGCAGAGAGACCTACTGTGAGTCTGATAGGCTTCCCTTTGTGGATAACCTGACCTTTCTCTCTGGCTGCCCTTAGTATTTTCTCCTTCATTTCAACCCTGGTGAATCTAACAATTATGTGCCTTGGGGTTGCTCTTCTTGAGGAATATTTTTGTGGTATTCTCTGTATTACCTGGAGTTGAATATTGCCCTGCCTTGCTAGGTTGGGAAAGTTTTCCTGAATAATATTATGAAGAGTATTTTCCAGCTTGGATTCATGCCCTTTGTCGCATTCAGGTACACCTATCAAATGCAGATTAGGTCTTTTCACATAGTCCCATATTTCTTGGAGACTTTGCTCATTCCTTTTTATCCTTTTTACTCTATTCTTGTCTTCTCATTTTATTTCATTAAGTTGGTCTTCAACCTCTGACATTTTTTCTTCTGCTTGATCAATTCGGCTGTTAAAACTTGTGCATACTTTGCAAAGTTCTCGTGTTGTATTTTTCAACTCCGTTAATTCAGTTATATTCCTCTCTATATTATCTATTCTTGTTAGCATTTCATCAAACCTTTTTTCAAAGTTCTTAGTTTCTTTGCATTGTGTTAGAACAATTTCCTTCAACTCCCAGAAGTTTCTTATCATCCACCTTCTGAAGCCTACCTCTGTTAATGGAACACGGTCTTTCGCCATCAGGCCTTGTTCAGTTGCTGATGAGGAACTGTAATCCCCTGTAGAGGGAGAGGCATTCTGATTTTGGGTATTCTCAGCCTTCTTAGGCTGGTTTCTTCCCTTCATTATAAATTTATCCATCTATAATGTTTGTAATTACCACCTTTCTAATTAGGTTTCTGAGTGGATGTCCAATTTATTGATTCCCAGTGCCAGAATCTGAGCAACCCACTGCGCCAACTAAAACAGCAGTGTTAATATTGATGGTGCTTTTCTGCACCAAAAACCACCATGCCAAGGGCCGGCAAAACAGCCACGCTGACCACAAGAGTCACAGTGGTGACCCGTGGGGCTCCTCCACTGGGAATCTCCTGGTCCGTGTGCAACAAAAATTTGTCTAAAAGTGTGGCATCCTCTCGTTTTCTATGCTTTCACTGGGAGCCACAATCCCGAGCTGCTAACGATCAGCCATCTTGGATCTCTCCCCAATTCTTTAAAATACAAATTCATTTAAAAGAGCCAATGAATTAATAGATATTTTGACTTTTTAGTCTTCGAGATAGAATCTCACTCTGTCGCCTAGGCTGGAGTTCAGTGGCACAATCTCAGCTCACTGCAAGCTCTGTCTCCTGAACTCAAATGATCCTCCCACCTCAGCCTCCCAAGTAGCTGGGACTGCAAGTGCACACCACCATGCCTGACTAATTTTTGCATTTTCTGTAGACATGAGGACTCACTGTGTTGTCCAGGCTTGTCTCAAACTCCTGGGCTCAAGGGATCTGCCCACTTCAGCCTCCTACGGTGCTGGGATTATAGACTTGCACAACCACGCCCTGCAATATTTTGATTTTTATCAATGAACACTCTTGTTCAGGTCTCTACTTGAATCTTATCTCTTTAGAGAGGTTTTCTCCGGCTTAACTACTTAAGGTAGTCCCTAAGTCATTTTCACTCACCAGTCCCTTATTCTGTTTCAGTTCCCTTCACAGCACCTAATGTAACCCCACATTATATTATGTATCTATTTGTTTACTACCTGTCTCTTCTCTTTGAATATAAACTACCATGAAGGCAAGGACTTTGTTATATCACCATCACCACTCCAGCATCTAGACCACTGCCTACACATGGTGCACCTTCAGTAAACATTTGCTGAGGTCACAATATGAGAAACAAGGTTTAGTTTGAAATCTAGTTTTTAGTACTTACAAGTAATTTTCATTACCTCACAGTGCCTTGTATAGTCCAGCATCTAGACCACTGCCTACACATGGTGCATCTTCAGTAAACATTTGCTGGATAAACAGATACACAAAATAATAGTTTCAAATGCATACCACAAGGCAAATTATTTAGATTTTATGCAGCCCTTTTCATCTTAGTAAATAATTCAAATTAAAATAGCATCAGAAGGCTCTTTTGTTCTTCTTGATAGTCATCATTAAGTCTTTGCCTGAAATAAGAAATTCTTATTAATAAATGAGATGCCATAGAATTGGCCCAATTACAATGAGATATCTAAGAGGGAAATGAAAGTCTTTATCTAAAAGGCTGCAACTTAAACATGTTAAAGAATATTGGTTTTGAGATACAAGTACAAGACATAGGTATTCACTTTATTGCTCAAATGATAAGACATTAATCAAAGCTTCCTGTAACCCCAATCAGGTTAAACCTCTAGCGTATTATTTTAAATTAGGTAGTGCGTGTTGCCACTTGGATGCTTACTCATCCACTACCAATACATTTTGAACTCGTATAACCTCTACCTCCGCAAAGAACACATCATAAGATTACTTAATATGTAATAGAAACAAAATCTGTTTCATATGTTAATCAATTAGGTCATCAAAGGATATATATAACATTTGATAAGACAATATGACCTAAAGTATTCACTACATAGTGCTATGTCAGAAGACATCTCTATTTTTACTGTTAAGTGTCACACTATCATGTTTATTGGTTCCTTGCCCTTTATTCTGACATATGCAGAATGAATTCAATTACATGGCCACTGATTGTAGAGCAAATGTTCATAGCCCCAAAATTAGATAGAGCTGTTTTCCCTTCATTCTCTTCCATTGAGAGGAATGGAAATAGTGGTCATATTGTCTTCGTTTCTTCCCCCAAATCTGGCTGCAATTCTTTAACCACAATACATTAGCACATTTGCTCTGAATATTTTGTAAAGAATGCATACAATGCATCAATATAAATCCCAATAATATGCAAGCAAACAATTACATATGGGATAACCTGTTTATATATTCTGCTATTGCTACATCAGAGTTATTTCTGACATGTCTGTCTCTAAAAATTCCTAAGCGTCCTCTTGCAATCAAGATATTTTCAGTGCTACTGATTTGAATAGTTTCATTTGTAACGCCCTTCCACCCACCATGCCATCTGTTACCTACAAAGTATAGAAGTTGGAGTCAGGAAATTCAGCACAAATTCTCCAAGTGGGGAAACCTCCTCTACTTTCTTGGAACCTACTAAATGGGGTTCTCTCTTCTCTTCCTCTTTTGTCTCTCAATCAAGTAACTATAAATAACTCCCTAAATGGTTTTATTCACTATTGAATAATGGTGGTGATCTTAGAAAGGCAAACTGTTTTTAGTCTGGATTTTTAAAGCAAATAGGGCCCAAGGCAAAAAACTTACTTTATGGAATATGCAATTATAGGGAAGAAGGACTGAGGGAAGGGGATCAATAGAGAAGGCATGGAAAGTAAATGTAAGGGGTACACTCCCAGTTGGGCTAGTTTTATATCAAGCTAGTGGGTTATCTTTGGAGAGTTACTATTATATCAAGTTACTGGGATATCTTTAGAGAGCTACTGTGTTTCTGAATGATTTATCTAGGGATAGAAAGGGAGAATTCACCTTCTTGTGTCTGCCGTTAGAAAAATTCATCCCCTGACCATCAACTGTGACACTCTTTTAGGTTGTACCATGTGACCCTCTAGCAGCTATGAGGAGGCTAGATCACAAAACAGCTATGACAGCATCTACAGTGGCAGCCACACTGCATGGAGCAAGCTAATGGGTGGAAGCAAGTCAGTGACACTTGCCATTGTCCATGAATAATTTGCAACCTCACAAACCAGCTGGATAAATCAGTGCACCTCCACAGTGTCTCAGAGGTAATGGAAAAACCCCACAGGGGAAGCAAGAAATGCAGAGCAAAGAGTGAGGCAATATACTGTCAGATTTTGTCTGAGAACCCCAGGAGGGACTGGGAACAGATACCTCAATGGAACTGGCTGGCCAAGCAGATGTAGTACTATGAAAACATGACCCCAATGTGAACTTATCAACAAACTTTCCTCCAACAAAGTCTGAAAGCCCTTTTCTATGGTGTACCCTAATGTGGTAAATACCAGACAGTCTTCTGGAGTATCATCAGGAGCATTCTAGAGAAAGCTACAGTCTAGAATCCAAGTGATTCCCAAACTAGGTTTAGCCAGTAATGCAATAGAGCTGAAAGAGTGAGATGATGATAACGGATTGTAGTTGGAAAAAAGAACTATTTCTGGAAATTGAGCTTGTAAAAGATGCATGAGAATGAGTCATCATTCTTAATTCTGACCTGTTTAAAATAAGTTTTTTAGTTTCAAATAAGCTCTTTAGAGATATCCAACCATTTTACAGTATTCAACAAAGTGAGGAAATTTTGATGAAGCAAATAAATAGTACCTGCTTGTTCTATGATAAATATGAGGCACTGTGAAGTAATGAAAACTACTTGGAAGTAATAAAAATTAGATTTCAAACTAAATCTTGTTACTCATATTGTGACCTGAGAAGTTTATTCAACCTCCCTGATCTCAGTTTGCGCTCCAGTTTAATGGGAACAAAGTGTGTACTTCACAGCATTTGTAAAAATTAAGGAAATGAAGTATTGAAAGGTGTCGATTGCAACAATAGGAAATCAGCAAATTTAATTAAATCAGAAACTACTCTTAAATCATACTTCTTCACTCATTTTTTCTCATATTTTTAATATTACATGCAAATACATATGCAGGTCTCTTCCATCAGCTATGTAACACCAATCAGTTAGTATAAAGTGATTTTGTATGAAGTAGTTAAAAATTCAACTTAGGTGTTAAAACATTCTATGAAGAATATTTTAACATTGCATTGGTTTAAAATCTCATACTTCTTGATAATCAGTAACTGGGTACTAACTGTAGCTCATTAATAATACTTAGCATTTATTAAGCACTTTCCTATGTGATGGTGAGCTAAGTATAACATTGATGATCATATTTATTATTCTTTGTTAACAAAGAATAATAAATTATTATTAAATAATAATTAAATAATAAATAAATTATTATTATTTTAACAAGGAATAATAAATATGTTATGTTATTGTTATGTTACCCAGGCTAGACTCGAACTCCTGGGCTCAAGAATCCTATCACCTCAGCCTTCCAAGAAGCTGGGACTACAGGCATACATCTCTACACCTGACTGGGGGCTACATAATAATTTTCAGGTAGTAGTGAAAAATGAAAATGCAATACTCCTTAAGCTTTTAACTTTAAAAATGTTCTATCACTTATAAAACATAATAGGGATGAAAATGTATGTGAGTAATAATATAAACTAATAAACTGCAAAAATACAATTTTTGGTGTTCTAATTTTAGATCATAAAAGAAATACTTTACAATGTGAAATCTGATTTCTCATACATTTTTTTCCTGCTTTTCTGGAAACTCATTTGTTAGGCTCTCAAAATTTATACTTTATTCCAATGGCCCCTTTCTGTGCCAGCATCCCATTTAGGATACTACATTACATTTAGCCATCATGTCTCCTTAGGATCCTTTTAGCTATAGTAGTTTCCCAGATTTTCTTTGTTTTCGATGATCTTAACAGTTTTGAGAAGTAAATGGTCAAATATTTTATGGAGTGCTCCTCAATTAGGATTTCTCTGATGTTATTCACATACTTAGCTGGGGGTTATGGGTTTTGGGAGAAGATTGCAAGGTAAAGTTCCATTTTAATTATTTCATATCAGTGGTTTATGCTGTCAGTATAACTTATCTCTGTTGACGTTACTTTGATCATCTGGCTGAAGTAGTGTTTGTCAGGATTCTCAACAATAAAGTTACACTTCCCTACTTTCCATCTGTACTGTTTGGAAGGAAATCACCATTTAACAGATGACATGTAAGAAGTGGAGAGTTATGACCCACCTCATTTTTGAGGGTGGAATATCTACATAAATTATTTGGAATTTTTCTTCATAGGGTATTTGTCTCTTCTCTCTCATTTATTTATTTATTCAGTCAATCATATATTTGTACCACTGTGGACTGTTGGATACTTATTTTATAGTTTGGATTAAAATCGAATACTACTTTACAATTTTATTGGTCAAATTGTTCCAGATTTGATCATGGTAACACTCTATGTCTATATTAAGCTGAGTTTGTGCTGATGAGTACAATGAGTTCATACTGATGTTTCCAAGTCTCATCCATTGATTAAAGAAAGGTTGGCTACTTTTTCAAAATGTATTTTATTTTATTGTTGTGTGTGTGTTCCAATTTATTATTTTATTTTATTGTTTAATTTTTAGTTTCAGGGGTACATGTGCATGTTTCTTTGTGTGAGAGAGTGTGTGTGTGTGTGTGTGTGTGTGTGTGTGTGACCCTGTCTTGCTCTGTCACCCAGGCTGTAGTCAGTGGTGCAATCTCGGCTCACCGTAACCTCCACTTCCTGGGTTCAAGTGATTCTCCTGCCTCAGCCTCTTGAGTAGCTGGGACTACAGGCTTACACTAACACATCTGGCTAATTTTTGTAGTTTTAGTAGAGATAGGGTTTCACCATGTTGACCAGGATGATCTCAATATCCTGACCCACCCGCCCTAGCCTCCCAAAGTGCTTAGATTACAGGTGTGAGCCACTGTACTCAGTGGCAAGTTCCTTATGTAAGTAAAGTACATGTTGTGGGGGTTTGATTTACAGAATTTTCCTCATCTAGATGATAAGAATAGTACCTGATAGGTAGTTTTTGATCCTCCCCTTCCTCCCACCCTGCATCTTCAAATAGGCCCCAGTGTCTATTTTTCCTTTCTTTGTGTCCATGTATACTCAATATTTAGCTCACATTTACAAGTAAGAACATGTGATATTTGGTTTTCTGTACCTGTGTTAGTTTGCTTAAGATAATGGCCTCCAGCTGCATCCATGTTGCTGCAAAAGACACAATCTAGTTCTTTTTTATGACTGTGTAGTATTCCATGGTGTATATGTACCACATTTTCTGTATCCAGTCTACCATTGATAGGCATCTACATTGATTTCATGTCTTTGCTATTGTGAGTAGTGCTGAGATGAACATGCAAGTACATGTGTCTTTCTGGTAGAAGAATTTGCATTCTTTTGGGTATATACCCAATACTGAGATTGCTGGATTGAATGGTAATTCTAAATTCTTTGAGAAATCACAGAATTGCTTTCCACAATGACTGAACTTACATTCCCACTAGCAGTGTAAAAATGTTTCTTTTCTCCGCAACCTTGCCAATATCTGTTATTTTTTTACTTAAAAAAAGTCATTCTGATTGATGTAAACTGGTATCCGACTGTGGTTTTGATTTGTATTTCTCTAATGATAGTGATGTTGAGTGTTTTTTCATCTGCTTGCTGGTCACATGTAGGTCTTTTGAAACGTGTCTGTTCATGCACTTTGCTCACTTTTTAATGGTGTTGCTTGTAAATTTGTTTAAGTTCCTTTGAGACTCTGGATATAAGATCTTTTTCAAATGCATAGATTGCAAATATTTTCTCCTATTCTGTGGATTGTCTGTTCACTCTGTTGGTAGTATCTTTTGCTGTGCAGAAACTCTTTAATTATGTCCCATTTGTCAATTTTTGTTATTGTTGCAGTTGTTTTTGGCATCTTTTTGTCATGAAATATTGTCATGTCCATGGCCTATGTCCAGAGGGCATTTCCTAGGTTTTCTTCAAGGATTTTCATAGTTTCAGATTTTACATTTAAGTCTTTAATCTATCTCAAGTAAATTTGTATATCTAGTGTAAGAAAGGGGTCCAGTTTTCATCTTCTGGATATGACTGGCCAGTTATCTCAGCTCCATTTATTGAATAGCAGGTCTTTTCCTTATTGTTTTTGTTGACTTTGGTGATTATCAGATGGTTGCAGGTGTGCTGCTTTATTTTGGGGCTTTGCATTCTGTCTCATTGGTCTATGTGTCTGTTTTTGTACCAATAGGTGCTGTTTTCTCAGATTCCTTGGATTAGGTTTTGACTTTCTCCTGAATATTAGTGATCTTCATTTCTATCTATATTTTGAGTCCTGTGTCTGATATTTCAGCTATTTTAGCCTAGTTAAGAGTATTGCTGGGGAACTAGTGCAGTCATTTGGAGATAAGAGGACACTCTAGCTTTTTTAGTTGCTAGCATTCTTGTGCTGGTTCTTTCTCATCTGTGGGGGGTGATATGCCATCAGTCTTTGAAGTTGATTTCCTTGGATGGTTTTTTTTTTTTTTTGCTTTTATCTTCTTTTATGCCCTTGGGGGTTTGGTTATGGTGTAAGGTGGGCTCTATAGACTGGCTTTGATTTCTGGAAGATTTCAGGGTCCCAAGTGTTCGGCTCAGCACTCCTGGGCTGCATATTCCTCCTTTGGGGCTCTGGTACCTTGTCTCTGGCTTTATTCTTTGACTCTTCAATATTTGGAAACTGTTGTGCTAGAGGGGCTGAGGTGTTCCTGGGCTGCTGGCCACAACATTCTGATGGGAGGTGCTGGCCAAAGTGCTTCTCATGGCAGTGGCAGTGAAATCCATGCTCGCTCATGTGTGCCAGTAGCCAAAGTATCGCAGCAGGGTACACGTGCATTAGCTGGGATAGGGTGCTGGAGGTAGGTAGCCTTTGCCTTAGATTTCACAGGTTTTCTATAATGGCAGAATATTTTGATGGTGTATTTTGGTCTGTGATCCAACAGGTGGTGCTTGAGAATATTAGCCAGTGGATAAATGACTAACACTGTCAAGCGCCACCTAGTGGATAGCTCTTTTTTTATGTTGTCTCAGTTGGCAAGTGTTCTGTGATGAGGGGCTGAGATAAGACCCCTCACCTAATTCACCCCTGGGTCAGAATTTAAATATAACTTTTATTGCAACTAGTACTGGAGCTGTTAAGTGTGTTTTATATTATCTGACAACATTGGAAGAAATTGTTGATAAAGCATTTTGAAACTTAAGTTTTAGTACATCTACAGCTGATGATTCATACAGAAAAAAATTTCTAAAAACATTTAACTCCTCATACAAATCATTTTTTTGTAAGTCTGAATTCTATTTTACATATATATTTATACAATGGAATTTTAATGTTCCTTCTGACATTTCCTGAAACTCATGGAAATAATATAATTGAAAGAGGCCTCATGATTTGTACATAATTTAAAGTACCTGTACAAGAAAAAAAATTAAATTAAAAATTATTTCTCCTTAATAATTGGTTTATCCAAAACCTCATAGGAAAATAGTCTTCTTTTCCATTAAACGTGATCATGGGGGAGGATGCAATCATGGCAGACTTGAAGCAGTTAGGAATAACTTCTCCCAGACAGACCAAAATATTGAGTAAACTGGAATAATCTGAAAAGACCATCTGAGAGAATACACTGAGAGAAGTTAGAGAGTTGACCAAGATGCCAGACTAAAGGAAGAGGAAGCTAAGAACTCCTCATGGGATTGTCAAGCATGAGGACATGTTCCAGGCCCTGAAAAGTTCTAAAGAAAGGGGTGCCTTCTGCCTCTGGTGCTCCCCACCATCCCCTGTGGAGTGCTGCTCTTAGCTGTCTGAGAGCACCTTAGTCCCTCCAGCCCAGCCAAGGCTTGATTTCAAGGGACCAGAGGACAAAGGTCACAGAGCCAGTCCCAGTCTCCAGGATTAGAATACATAGACCATGAGGGCAGAGCTAAGCCTTGCCCTTAAAAGCATCCAGAAATGAAGATATTCAACTATATCCAACTGGCACCACTGTTAAAACCTCAAAGACAATAGAGATTATAAAAACAAAAAGCCCCATCCAAAGGACAACAACTTTAAAGGAAAAAGGAACTTCAGCCCCCACAGATGAGAAAGAAACAGCACAAGAACTCTGGTACCTCTAAAATCCAGAATGTCTTCTTATCTCCAAATGATCATAATAGTTCCCTAGTAATGGATCCTAACCAGATTGAAATGGCTGATATGTCAGATATAGAATTCAGAATCAGGATGGCAAGGAAGCTCATTGAGATACAAGAGAAGGTTGAAATAAAATCCAAGGAAAACATTAAAATGATCCAGGAGTTGAAAGACAATGTAAACATTTTAAGAAAGAACCCAGCTGAATTTCTATAAGTGAAAACTGAACTACAGGAATTTCAGAATACAGTTGAAATCATTAACAACAGAATAGACCAAACTATAATAGAGAAGATCTCAGAACTTAGAGACCATCATTTTAAAGCAACA